GGCTTGTTTTACAACGTCGTTGCCAAGCGACGAAAACCCAACCCCGATGGCAAACACCAGGGGGGGCGGCGGGGTGTACTCATAGTCGTGCATGCCGTAGCCGTCAGACCATTGACCTCGCATCCCTACAATGCCGGGACGGAGCACGCCCGGTTCTCACCGGACCAGGCTGGGCGGGGGGCAGTTTGTTTTACAACGTCGTTGCCAAGCGACGAAAACCCAAACCCCTATGGCAAACACCGGGGGGGGGAGGGGCAGGGAGGCAAGGGGGGCGCGAAGAAGACGCTGGTCAGCTAGGTAGGTGGGGTGGGAGCACGGAAGGAGCAGTAGTGGGACGTTCGTTTCGTATTGGACACGCTCCCCAGCAACCCTTGTTTCTTTTTTATTGGGGGTATCGCACTATCGATCATGTTTCTTATTGGGACGTTTCTTATGTTTGGCCGAGAATGAGCTGTCTTACTTAGTCCTTTTTTCTTACTTTCGCAAAAGTTGAGCCTTTTTTCCTCGCGGAATTTTTCTTAATTACGGGCCCGTAGTGTACTATTTGCTTTTCAGCTTATCACTTATTTAACCGGTGGAACCGACCGACAAAGATAGATCCAAACAACGCAAGAGCTTTTTCCACATTCTGCCTGCTAGATGCCAATATTGGCGATTCTGTAAACCTCTGCCAGATGATAGTACATAGAGTATGCATAAATACTCTAAAAATGCTGGGTACTGCTGCTGCTGTAGCTTTTACAGCCGACTTTCTACTTCCCTCCGCTCCCAAAACAGGCAGGCCTGAATATTTCACCATTTCTCTCTGTTGAGGTTAAGCTAAACCCTGGTGCTTATTGCTGCTCCTAGTACTGGGGAGGGGGGAGCGCAACATAGAACAACAGGTCTACCGCAGCTTACCGTAATGTGACGAGCGATGACAGCAGCAGTAGTAGTAGTAGTAGTAGAAGTAGGAGCGTAGGGGGAGGGTCGGGCGTCAAAGGGCGCGACAACGTGGGGGAGGGCGCAACGAATACGACCAGAGGGTTTTGTGGCAGGTAGACCAGAGTGCAAATAAAATCGAGCTGAGAGTTTCGGTAAGCACGGTAAATAACCTCCACTTAAAACAGTTAAATACACCACGCAAAGCTAATGTTTCAAGATTTGTTTGCACGGATCCCTCGCGATCCAACAGGAGGTGAGTGGAAAGTAGAAATGTCGTCCCACGATCAACCGGCTGATTCAATCGCCAACTGCCCCCCCCCCTCTCGCAAATCACAGTTTCCACGGAAAAAAAGAAGTGTGCCCCCTCTCAACTACTTACAGCAGTACCTTCGCGAGCTCTTTGGGTGTTGCGCTGGACCCCATGACAACACGAAAACAATGTTTGAGAGTAGATGTGACAGATTTGCGTAGAATAGGGTAAGATGTTATCATGAACGGAGAAGAAAGGGCTTTCCCAACACGGAGATGTAGCATGGATCAAAGCATTTGTGGATTTCAGCTTTTACAAGGGGACATCAACGCAGTAGTATTGTAGCAAGCTTACGAACGCATATAGGATACCATGAGGATTGTCATTGGTTTTATTTCAAGTTGAAGAGGAGATATTTTTACGATGTAAGTGACAGTAGAAATAAGTCCTACATGTGTTGTTGTACTTCGTATTGGTTTAATATTCATGTAGAGTATGAGACATTAAGTGAAAGTTTTCTGAGGTACATCTGCAATTGTCGGAAGGCAATATATATATATATATATATCCATGCACCAATGGCCGGACCCATAATAAATACAAGCTGGGCCAACCAAGAAGGTCACTTTTGTTCTTTGGCGTCTCACGCTGCCGTTTAAACGAGTTTAGGCTTGAAAATTGGCAGCTGCTCGTACAAGACAATAGGGGAACCGCAGGTACCAGAATTTTTCGAATCTGAGTTGATTTAGGTATTATTATTATTATTATTATTATTATTATTATTATTATTTTTGTTTGCCCTCCGACAATTAATTGTAGATAAATGCAGACATACATAAAAAGTCGATCGTAGAGGCCGTCATGCCAAGTCAAATTAACTCGATGCCCAATAGCTAGGAATGTTTGCCTCTAAGTCAACAAAACTTTGGTTGAAACACTACATACAGCTGAACTCTAGGCACGAACCTTCGATGGAGTAAAACGAACAAAACCCCAACCTCATCCACCCGAAATCAAACAAAACTCGGCCCCGTCTTCCGTGGTACCCCTGACACCGTATCGAACAGAAATCCGCTTTCCACCGAAGTGGTTAGGTGAAAGCTGTGTATGTATTACACGATCAATTGACTGCGTAATACCCGATACCTCTGGTACTTAAATCAGTATAACAAGAAGTTTTTCAGATGAATCTGAAATTTGGTGTGCACGTACCTGAGAGCAGTGCGAGAGTGAGTGTAGATGGTAGTTACAGGGCTCAATTCATCTTCCATCACAAGTTATGGCCTCGTAAAGATTCATATACAATAAACAAGATAGCTGAGGGAATATGAGGATAACGCGATTTACACCACGATTTTTACGAGTTGGAATCTGAAGCTTTGCAATGTGATGGGTATTAGTACAACCAAGACCTTGCCTGGAAGCACCCTCTACTATTTTATTTTTTTTAGTCCCCCTATACACAAAAAAAGGATCACCATTTGTTTTTGAATAGGGCTACCTCGTGAATAATGAACAAAAAAGAAGGGTGCTTCCAGTCAAGGTATTGCATTGGTCATGAACTGGCCATGACTCGGTCATGGCCGAGTCATGAGCAGTCACGATCGAAGCATGACCGAGGTATGACTTCGGTCATGATCGACATCATGATCGAGATATGACTCCATCTAAAGGCCGGGTTTTGACTCGATCATAAAGACTTCTCCCTTCTTCCCCTCGCTCCTCGACAAGCTTTTGCTTAGACATGGGTTGTAGTGAAGGGGGGGGTCTTTCTGGCGAGCAGGGCTAGATTCACCCTCAAGGGATGACCGAAACCTTCTTGCTGCTGCGCATATCCGCCGCGAGGCATGCGCGTGGTGGTGTAGTTGGGTCGGCACTGATGGGGTCAGGCGAAAAAATGTAGATGCGCGGGCCTCTGGCCGTCGGCGTAGGCAGCGATG